GAATGAACCGGCCCAAATTCTTTACCATCTCTCTGCGTCCTTTATCGGTTTATCCTCCTACTCCAACTGCATCCACCACCAGCACAAGACTGAAAATGAGTCTCCAAACGGCTATCTCTGCTCCATCCTTTCTATCCTCATGCTCCGGTTACCGGCTCAAATTCAATCCTCTTTTCTTCCCTAACTTTAGCTTCTCCCGCTGTCGTTCCAACCGTCTCGGGCGCAGAAACTTCGCAGGTAAGTACCATAGCTCTCCTCGCTCTCTTTTCCTTAAGCCTGTTTGGTTGCTGAGAAAGTGAATGAAATTAAAATCCTAGAATTTTATTGCGAATGTGGAATATTTGCTTCACTTAGTTTCTGTTTCAAAGCAATCGTGCATTCGCCATTTCTTGTGTTTCAGTTTTTGCATCAGAGAATAGTGTTTTCACTTCTCCGGAGATGGACAAGTCGTTCGACTTTACTTCCGAGGAACGGATTTACAATTGGTATTATATTCTCGACTTAAATGATTTGATGTGTTTGGATTATATTTTTATGCTTCACATATAATTGTGCTTTTGAGAATGGTGCGTCCCTGCAACAATTTAGAAGATCAGTTTAGCTCATTTACATATCTTTATGTATCTACTTCATGTTTACGTCGAAATATGTATTTATGTGATTTCTGGATGTGTTAGGTGGGAGTCTCAAGGATTTTTCAGACCAAAGTTTGACCAGGGAACTGAACATTTTGTCATACCTATGCCACCGCCTAATGTTACTGGATCACTGCACATGGGGCATGCAATGTTTGTAACTCTTGAGGTTAGGAAAATGGTTTCAAATCTTTTATTCATTTTATGGCTTTTATTTTTTTGAAGTTTTCTTTTTCTGTAACTACAGCTCTTGGATGATCTGCTGAGCTCTGAATTTTTAGATATTGTATAATTTGTATTGCACTAGAGGTAAAACAACTTGTCTTGATTTATTACTTGGGCTCTTTATTGAAAGCTCTCATGGCTTTCTCATTGCTTTTTCCCCCTCCCCCCCTTTTTTTTTTGGTGATAAGTTGTTTTATTTAATCTATGAATAGCACCTTCTTTTTTTTTTTTTGTTCTGACAATTTATGCTACGATGGTCACTGGATAGCAAACAACTGAACTATTTTATGTTTCATTTACTGATTGATAATTGAATAAAATACACTAATACCTATGTGGATGAGGTGTCATCATGCAGCATGCGCTCAACCATTGCTAATAACTATCTGTTTTATTTGCATTACTTAATATGCTCAACATAAGCATTCTTAGCTTATACTCATAATTTGGGAACTATCTTTCGGAATCTCTTGCTGTAGGGTAGACAGCTTGTAGTCATTAGATTAATGGATATTGTGCTCTTCTGATGACAATGCTTTCTACCCTTTTACCTTTATTTGTCTTTTTTGTTAGGATATCATGATTAGGTACAATCGTATGAAGGGAAAACCAACACTTTGGCTTCCTGGGACTGATCATGCTGGTATTGCAACTCAGGTCTGTCTTTAGATTTAAAGGTTAATAGGTTATACATTCTTTTGAGTATATCAGCCAATCATGTGTTTCTCCTACACTCCCAAAATGGCCCAATTTATCATTGAATCTTCTATAAACTCCTTTTAGCATTATAATTTGTATATTATTTTGGTGTCAGCAGTCATTTTGTGTTTTTAGATTGAAATATATTGCTGAGGCTATTGTTTGTTTCTTTTTGTAGTTGGTTGTGGAAAGAATGTTGGCATTTGAAGGAATGAAAAGGGTGGAATTGGGAAGAGATGAGTTCACCAAACGAGTTTGGGAGTGGAAGGAGAAGTATATTTTCCCTTGCATCCTTTATTTTCATGGAATCTTTTTTGCCCCTCTTCTTTTTGCTTTTGGGTGCTTTCACTTCTGCATGTCTCCTATGGTATGTTTGGTTGAAGTTCTAACTAGTGGAAGCGAAAGATACATAACATGGTCACTTGTTGCTTCTTTATGAGCAAACTTTTTAACTAATGTTTGAAGGAATTTCTGGAGAAATATGTGCAAGTAGACAAAAGATACAGTGAAAATTATAAGTAAAATATTGATACGGTGATGGGTATTATTTCCTTTAGGGTTTTCTTGCTGCTGGAAAATTAGATTTTGATGTAATATCTGTTAGTTGTATTGACTTTAGGTTTAGGTTCTGGTTCATTATTATTATTATTATTATTTTGCTTAAGCTTTTTCGTTGATTTAAAACTATTAATTTATTTCTTTTCTTCTCTCTCCAAAGATAGTAGTGGTTCGGAGTATCTGGATTCCTAACTAGATTTTATTGTTTAGGTATGGTGGAACCATAACAAATCAGATTAAGAGACTTGGGGCTTCTTGTGATTGGAGTAGAGAGCACTTCACCCTGGATGAGCAGCTAAGTCGTAAGACAGATTTCTATCTAGTCAAAATGGAGTTCTAACCAGTAAAGAGTCATGGTGCATTTAGTGTTTTAGTCCTCTGTTTCATTATCTTTTGTCATGCTATGCCATTTTCTGTTACATGGATCAAATGTGCAGTCAAACACATTATAAACACATTTATGATTGCTAAAATTTCAAATATATATGGTGTTTTGCATAACAATTTTTACATGCTCTGAACCACTCCTCTGTATTGCAGGAGCTGTTATTGAGGCCTTTGTCAGGCTTCATGAAAAGGGTTTAATCTATCAAGGTATAATCTAAATCTTTTTACATTTTAGCAATTGTTTTTCTTCCCTTAGGCAATTGGCCCTTTCATTGTATGTTAGTATTGTAGCATATTTAACGTAAGGAGAAAAGGCAACAGTTGATTGGATTGGTAGTGCCTTTTATTTCACCCAAAATGCAATGTTATTAAGGAGGCAGTAAATTCTTGATGCTTGCCACTGTTCACTAATGTGATCACTAACTCTATAACTTTATTATTAAAACCAATTGTTCATTTTGTCATTTAGAACCATCAAAATAAAGATGCCTGATTGGCTAATATATTTTCTCAGGTTCGTACATTGTTAACTGGTCTCCTAAGCTACAAACTGCAGTTTCAGACCTGGTAACTTCTTGTTGTGTTTGTGGTGCTATGCTTATTTTGCCCCCCCCCCCCCCCCTTTTTTTTTTTTCCTTTTTCTCTTTCATGTGTTTTCTTGTATAAACCCCACTTTTCTGTGCTTAGGAAGTGGAATATTCTGAAGAACCTGGTATTCTGTATTATATTAAGTATCGTGTTGCTGGGGGTTCAAGGTATTTACCACAGTTTCTGGTTATCTTCTAAATTTTTGCACACTAAGAAAAATACAGCACACAGGAGACATATTAGCAAATTGTTCAACAAAAATAACAATTTTGGGAATCAGTTAAGGCAAATTAAGTCATTCTTATTTATATAGATTCTTAAATTTTTAAAATTTCAATTGATGTTGTGAGATTTGAATACGATTTAATTCTTGGAGACTTAGTTTTTAGGAGCATCCTGCTTTTTCTCTTTTGAGGGTTGTCTATATATGAGGATTTAACTCTGATGCTTCTTCTCCTTGTAGGAGTGATTTTTTGACAATTGCAACAACACGCCCAGAGACTTTGTTTGGCGATGTGGCTGTTGCAGTGCATCCTCAGGTGTGACAATTCATATGCTTGTTAGTAATATGCATGTTCAAGATGTGCTGCCTTGGTTTTTGCAATATTATTGATTATATTCATAAATGAAAGGTTTGTTCTAGTTTATAATTCATTTAATTGCGGCACTCTTTGTCATTTTTCCTGTCTGTTTATGTGTATTCTGTAGTGTATGCTTATATGGTTTGGAAATTGATTTTCTATCCTGCATTTGATTTAGGCTTTAAGTTGGATTTGGAGGTGGGTTCAGCATGTGATTCAAGGTTGAGTTTGGAGTACTTTCTGAAATGAAAAAAAGAAGAGAGCATGATGCCAAACATAAGTATTTTTCATTTAACAAAATTATGAAAATATAGAAATCTAAATGATTGACAGCTCAATGTATGGTTTTCTAAACCTGTAAATATTGCGCCATAACAGGCATATAAAATGTTGAGCAACAATCATCCTATTTGACAATAATCATATTTTTGATCTCTATGCAGGATGAACGTTATTCAAAGTACATTGGTCAAATGGCAATTGTACCTATGACATATGGCCGTCATGTCCCTATTATATCTGATAAGGTAAAGCACCCGCAATTCAAGAATGAATTGTCTTGTCTATTGATGCAATGCAGAATAAGGTTAATGAAGACCCTGGGTTTTTTTTGCCTTTCCTTTAAATTGACTCTTGTTTTCATCTTACTTGGTTGTAATTTCTGAAACAAAACGAAGTACATAATATGTTTCTTATGCAACAATTTATTACCATCAAATTCTTTTCTCTTGAATTATTTTTCTTTATGTGGGGCTTCAGTGGTTGCAAACATGTCAACTCTTCATTCATTAAATGGATAAAATTCCTGGTTGATAAGCAGGGTTTTATTATTGTTGTTGTTGTTGTTGTTGTTGTTGTTGTTGTTGTTGTTATTGTTATTGTTATTGTTGTTATTGTTATTGTTATTATTGTTGTTATTGTTATTATTTAATTTTTTTTATGATGGCAGTATGTTGATAAAGACTTCGGGACAGGTGTGTTGAAGATAAGCCCTGGGCATGATCATAATGACTACCTTCTTGCTAGAAAGCTTGGTCTCCCACTACTTAATGTGATGAACAAGGATGGGACGCTTAATGAGGTTGCTGGGCTGTACTGGTAATGAATTTTTAAAACTTATTGAATGATTACTCAACTAGGACATCTTTCTATTTCCTACCTAATCTAAATGGCAGTGTCTTTTAAATATCAGTGGTCTTGATCGATTTGAGGCACGGAAAAGACTGTGGTCCGATCTTGAGGAGACTGGTTTAGCTGTAAAAAATGAACCCCACACTTTAAGGGTTCCCAGATCACAACGTGGTGGAGAAGTGTGTATACTACTCTTTCAGGATGTGCTTTCAGATGTTTACTAAAGTCAATGGTGCTCCATTCAAACCAGTCTCTCATATTGTTTATTTTTATTTTTTACTAGGTAATAGAGCCACTAGTTAGTAAGCAGTGGTTCGTAACAATGGAACCCTTAGCAGAAAAGGCACTTCATGCAGTTGAAAAGGGAGAACTGACCATTATGCCTGAAAGATTTGAGAAGGTATGTAAAGATTGAGAGGAATATGACCTCTTACTGATTCTGTGTTTGGATCATATACTTGCTCTTTTATGAGACTTATTGCTATTCAGGACATTGCCAAGAATCTGTTTTCTTGTCCTTTCTATCCCCCCTTTTCTGAAGAACATTCTACCCATAAGTTGTGTGGCATTTTTATCCCAAATCCTCCTGCTGGTAATTAATTACATGAATACTGTAGCTGCTGCTTTATCTATTCTTACCCTTAATTTATACTTGTATTGATAACAGATATATAATCATTGGTTATCAAATATCAAGGATTGGTGTATAAGCAGACAGCTTTGGTGGGGTCACCGCATACCAGTTTGGTACATTGCTGGAAAAGACTGTGAAGAAGAGTATATTGTTGCTAGAAGTGCTGATGAAGCCCTTGAAAAAGCATACAAGAAGTATGGAAAAGATGTAGAAATTTATCAGGATCCAGATGTTCTTGACACTTGGTTTTCAAGGTCTATTATTCAACTTGATCTTCTCTGCAGTAATCTATGCAAAGTTGCAAACGGCTAAGTTTGTTAATGCTAATATTTTGACCATGCTTGTGTTTTTCTCTCTTCAGTGCTCTGTGGCCTTTCAGTACTCTTGGGTGGCCAGATACATCAACTGAAGATTTCAAGAGGTTTTATCCAACAACAATGCTTGAAACTGGGTATTTATTTCTTCGCTAACCCCCTTCTTTGGTGTGACCACTGATTTATTTATTTATTTATTTATTTTCTGTGTTATGTTCAATTGCTCCAAAGATAAAATTTGATGATAGAAGGGGGCTAGGGGTTAGCACTCGGCATTAAGTATCTACAGAGAATGGGAATGGCTTCAAATCCTAATCAGCTTGAGTTTTGTTATAGTTAAGTTTTCAAAGGCATGTTTTGGTTGCATTAGTATATATTACAGATTGAATTATCCCCTGGGATATATTGCACTATATGTGGCTAAATACCACTGCCAGAACTTTGAACCCATCCTGTAAGGGCTGGTTCTAGAGGCTGTTTAGCTTAGCTTATTTTCATGTTCTGAAGTGAAAAGCAATTGTGCTTAATAGCACTTTTTGATGCTGAAAATAACTATATTCTTATTTATAAATAAGCTGATATGTGTTTAGGTTTGAGAAAATATATAAATATTACTCCTAAGAGTGTTGGTGTAAGACTAATCTTTATGTTTGGGAATAAGATTTCTTTAAGTCTTGATGAAAAAGATATATACCATACCATATAAGGATGCAGAATTGATGCTAATAAAATGGTGAGACTGCTTATATTTAACTTGGTCTTGTGGCCAGATCTTTTGCCTTGAGTTCACATTTTTGCCATGTGATGTTAGGAAATGATGACTGTTGTCCTTTTTGGACAGGCATGACATATTGTTCTTCTGGGTTGCGAGGATGGTGATGATGGGAATTGAATTCACAGGCAAAGTTCCCTTTTCATATGTATATCTTCATGGTCTTATCCGGGATTCACAAGTATGTGGAAAGCATACCTTCTTGTAATCATATCATGTAATATTAATAACTCATTTCATTCCTGGATATAACATGTTTAGTGAATTTTTACATATTAATTGTTTCAGGGGCGTAAAATGTCTAAAACATTGGGCAATGTAATTGATCCTATTGATACAATCAAGGAGTTTGGTACTGATGCTCTACGTTTCACACTTTCTTTAGGAACTGCTGGTCAGGTTTGTTGTCTTGTCTTACATCTTTAAAATTATATCATTAAACAAACATGTCAGTTCAATAATGAAATGCTACCTGTAGATTACATGATGCTTTACCATTTCACTGTAACCTGTCTTATAAAAGTTGTATATGATCAGATAATTTCACCTGCATTTTTTATAGGACCTCAATTTATCTACTGAGAGGCTGACAGCTAACAAGTCCTTCACAAACAAATTATGGAATGCTGGCAAGTTTGTTCTGCAGAATCTACCTAGTGAAGAAAATGTATCTGATTGGGAAATTATGCTTGATTATAAGGTTTGTCTATTCATTTTCTTACAAAGATCACTAGGATAGCATTTTGTCACCATTGGTGAACCTTGCCATGGAGCCATATTTTTTTCTCCAATCAGATGAGGGAAGAACAATTAAGAATTACCATTTACTGCCATATCATGTTTTCCACAAAATTCAGAGAAATGAATCTGTTGATATCATGTTATACAATGCCACTTAGTTATGCTTTTGCCATGTTCAAAATCTCCAGATTCCAAGAAGTTGGGCTTTATATTCTATAAACTGAAACAGTTTACTTGTTTTTCAGTTTGACACAGAAGAATCTCTTCTTAAGCTACCTCTTTCAGAATGTTGGGTGGTAAGAAAGATGACAGGGCGTAATGTCTTCCCAATTCTTATGTCCCTGTACTTAAGCACAGTTTTTTAAATTAATGGCACTCTGTTTTGTTTGTGTGGTGCAACTGCAATTATTGGTTGAGTGACTCCATAAATTTTCAGGTCTCAAAACTTCATACTCTTATAGATGTGGTCACTGAGAGTTATGACAAGTTTTTCTTTGGTGATGTTGGAAGAGAGACATATGACTTCTTTTGGAGTGACTTTGCTGATTGGTATCATCAACTTATTTATGAGCAATTTTTTTGTAAATACTTTTTGTTGCCTTATGTTAAGTAGTTAAGTTCTAGATAACCTGTTACTTTACTGGCTGTGGAAACATAAACACTAAGCCTTAGGGGAGGAGTAGGCTACATGCATTAGGTGAAAAGCATACAATAGAGGCGTTTTAGTTTTTTTAATTTTTAGTTGGTCATATTATTTTTTTTAAAAAAAAATTTACAATTCATGAATTATATTTTCAGTTATTTCTTCAGTAATGTCTTTTCTCAGTCTATGTATCATATTTGTTGCTCTCTCTTTTTGAAAGAAAAAAGGGGCTAGTAAATGTGTCTGGGGTTTCTGCTCTGCTGTCAACATTTCCTGATATGACTGACTTGTATAGCCTAATTCTTTTTTTAATTTATTTGCTAGGTATATTGAAGCCAGTAAAGCTCGCCTTTACCACTCTGGAGATAATACAGTTGCTTTAGTTGCACAAGCAGTCCTCCTGTATGTTTTTGAGAACACACTGAAATTGCTACATCCCTTTATGCCATTTGTAACTGAGGCATTGTGGCAGGTAATGGCCTTCTGGCATCCCAATATTTCTAAGCTTATAGAAATTTATATGATTTCTACTAAATAAAGTATTGTATTCATAGCAACACGGCATAAACAAGTGCTTTTTTGTTATGGGCAAAAGTTTCCATACACACTGTTTTGTGTGCTACTTTTTCTATCTGTAGTTCCTTCAGAGGACGTTTAGAACAAGCTGCTTTAAATTTAAAGCATTGGGATGAATGAGTACATGACATGTATGATGGCAGGACAGTAGAATTCATCAGGCTAGTTTTTCTTAGTGAATTTTTTCTCTCACTGAAACCATGTGAAGTTAACTGTTTTGTCCATTTATTTACAGGCACTCCCAAAAAGAAAAACAGCTCTGATAGTATCTGCTTGGCCACATACTTCTCTTCCGAGGCATGCAAACTTGATAAAACGATTTCAGAATTTGCAAGCTTTGGTGAGTTCTAGATGTTGTTTCTTGCTCAATATTTCCCAGTCCATTACTACATGATCACCCAAGGAAAATAATTGCTTATATCTGCCAATTTATGAGGTAGACTCGAGCAATTCGAAATGCTAGAGCTGAGTACTCTGTTGAACCAGCAAAGCGAATATCTGCATCAATTGTTGGCAGTGAAGAAGTTATACAGTATATATCTGTAAGTATATTTTTGCAAATCTTACTCTTTTAAGTGAAAAGGGCATCTTTCAAATCAGTTCTTGATTTATAATCTGAAATTTATGATAACATCAAATGCCCAAACTTGGCTGCCATCTTTTAACAAGTGGCCTTTTGCATTGGTATCATATTTATTTTACATCATTACATTTGGCAGTTGCAAATTTAGACAGCACAGCAAGTGGGTTGCATACCTCTGATACATGGTGCACTTTTTTTTTGGGCTGCTTGATACATTGTGCCTGGTTGTGCATACTGCATGCAACACTATTGTCATTTTTGCAAGTTGGCTTATTATTGCTTGATGCAGAAAGAGAAGGACGTTTTGGCTCTTCTATCAAGGCTAGATCTGCAAAATATCCATTTTACAGATTCTCCTCCAGGCATGTTTACTTTGAACCTAATTTTGTTGGGCTATAGGAATTGGGAAAAAGAAAGTTCTTATATACTCTTTTGAATACTTAAAGATCATTTCAAATGGTTATTCTTTTGGACCTAAGTGCCAATACCCTTACAGGGGATGCAAATCAGTCAGTCCACCTTGTTGCCAGTGAGGGGCTAGAGGCATATCTCCCCCTTGCTGATATGATTGATATTTCTGCTGAAGTTGAACGCCTTTCCAAACGCTTGTCTAAAATGCAAATGGAATATGAGGGACTTAAAGCTCGCCTCAGTTCTCCAAAAGTACGTTGTTCATTTGATCTTTTATCATAGAAAAACAATTACAGTTTCTGTACTGCTCTCTCTTCTAAAAGTTATTTAGTGAAATGGTAAACATATAATATGGCAGCTAGGACAGTAATAAACAAGGCTAACGCCTGATTAACTAAAGTGCTTAGCCTTCCAAGCCATTTGCCGTATGTAAAATTAGGACCAACCATACAGAGGCTTAAGACTTAAGTTGAGGACTAAGAGTTCTGAACTTATCGGAAATGTTACTACCTGTGTCTGCACATGAATGTTGTGATTGGTGCTATTTAAAATATGAGGAATTTGGCACTAGCTGCACAACTTTTGCTAGGTTTCTGCCAAAGGAAGTTAGTGTTATAATCCTGTATGGAGTGAATATACTTGAAATTGACTTTTTCATGTAAGTTGGAGGTTTTTTTCTTTTTGAAAGAAAAAAGTTGGGAGTATTTTTAATTTTGCTGTGAGTGCCACAAATCATTTAAAAAATTTTGGCGCCTCTTTTTCTGGCCTGGAAGTATATCCCAGAAAAGGGGTGCTGAAGATGTTCTTCCCTTTTAAGGCTGAAATGCAGAAGACATTCAAGCAGCACATGCTCATCTGTTGCCCTTTCTCTCCCCATATTCTACTTATTTTCTCATGATATCATGCTATGGTAGTTTATGCATGCATCTGTCCAACAATTTCTAATATTTTTCCCCTGCAGTTTGTAGAAAAGGCTCCAGAGGATATTGTTCGTGGGGTTCAGGAAAAAGCAGCTGAAGCAGAAGAGAAAATAAATCTTACCAAAAACCGTTTGGCTTTCCTCAAATCAACTGTTCTGGTTTCAAAATAGGCTTCATTCATAACTCTTTGGTGTTTTATCCTCAGAACCCGGCTTCTCCACCAGACCAATTTCCATTTCTACAGGAGTTACAAATCATGCACTATAATTGAAAGAGATGGTTGTAAATCATGACATTGGGTGATGGAAATAACCAGTCAGCTGAAAGAAGGAACGGGAACTGGTCCAAATGATTTCTGAAGAGGAAGAGTAATTGCTTTTTCACTTGTTTCAATAGAAAAGGTTCAAGCCCATCATTAATTGAATGCAGAACTCAACTGTTATTAGCGGTTCTTTCCTTCACTAAAGTTGTAAGAAGAGATCATAGTTATGTAATATCAATGTATATGTTTCCAGATTCTTCTTTAGTCGTCCCTTTATTTATAGTTATCAATTGGCTCATCTCGGTCCTTCTGCCTTTATTCATATATATATTTCAAAATCTGGGAACACATTGGTTTCTATGGATCTTTGGAAATGGTCATAAGAGTGCAAAACCATCGAGCGAAAACTGAACTGGCAGATTTTGTTTATGAGATTACAATGTATGTAATTGTAGAAAATATAATTCCTTTCAGATGGGATTATTGCAACTTTAGTTAATACTACCCTACGATGTTTTCGTTTTGTGAAATTGAAAAAATGTTGAGACGTTCTAGTGTAATCACACTATAGGTTACAATATATTATTTGAGATTCATATTATTTGGTGTTAAATGATTAAACACCTTAAAGGTTGAGGCCTTTTGCTGGGCTCTACCAAAATTAAAAAAATAAAAATAAAAATAAAAATACAGTATCATTATTTATTTATTATTATTTTTTAACATAGTATCATTTTTTATTTAAAAATGTAAAAATAGCATTAATTAATGTATAAAAAATTGACCGTAATTGAACTATTAATCCAACCCAATTCCACTAAGCTTCCTGCACGGCTGGACGGACCACCGTCTCCAACCCACCCCCGACTCAACTGTTCAGTACTTCCCCATACCCTAACCCTAACCCTAACAATCTCCGAGCCGTAAATAGCCATGGACTCCACTCCGATCCAACCTCCCCTCACACCTTGTTCCTCCAAACTCCCCGTCAAACGCAAAACCCCTCACCTCCCTTTTCTCACTCCTAAACTCGAACACCCATCTCTCACCACCACCGTTGTCCATGATGATCCCTCCGCCAGGCCCCAGCCTTCCAAGTTTCACCGAGTCTGGACGGAGCCAGACGAGATCACCTTCCTCCAGGGCCTCCTCCAATCTCACGGCCTCTCTTTCCCCAGAGATCTCCCCGTCTTCTATTCCCACTTCTCCACCTCCACGTCCCAGCACTATACCAAGTCCCAGCTCTCCGATAAGCTTCAGCGGCTCCGAAAGAAGTTCCGTATCATCTCTTCACGGCTTGCTCGTGGGCTTCATCCCTCTGCTCTCTCCAGCCATGATCGTATCCTTTTTGATCTTTCAAAGAAGCTGTGGAGCCCGGAGTTTTCAGCTTCCTCTCCTTTTGGTAAGAGTTCGAGCTCTGTCGATGCTGCTATTAGTATTAATTCAAGAAAGAAGATTGATAGCTACGTTAATGGGAAATTAGTTGGGGTTAAGGTTTGTTTTTCTCCTGATTTGCCTTTCGGTTCGAATCAAGATCATGATAACAATGTCAGTGATGGTGATGATATTAATGATAATTATAAGAAGAATTGCGTTGGTCAGGACGTTAGTAATGTTGGTGAAGTTAAGATGAATCAGGTTCATGTGGATTTTGACTTCAGGGGGGAAGGGGAGGAGGAGGTGAGTAGGGAGAGAAATGGTGCTGATGTTGGTGGGGTTATAGCAACCAGTGTACTGAATGTGCTTAATGACTGCTTGAAAGATGTTAGGATTGTCCTTTTGAGGCAGGGGATTCTCTCTTCATGTCTGAAAGATGGGAAAGAGATGGATTTTGACAGGAGGTGGGGGGAGCAAAGAGTTGCAGAGTTTGACGTGTTGGCACAGCGGCTAAGGATGGTTATCCAGAACTCTCTTAGCAAGCAATAAGAACGCTAATGGTAAAATCTTGTGAATAACTTGCTCGAGTTTGTACATTCTATCCCATCCTAGATGATTTATAAGTAGTAATAATTTACATTTCCACTTCTTTCTTGTGTTTAGATTTAGCCAATGGCAGTTCAGTGAATTTTTTTTTTTTTTTTTTGGTCCAGTGAATACTTGCAAATGGTAGATTTTAGACTTTCTGAATGTTTGATATGTTGGTTAAGCTTCTGGTAATTGCAATTGGCCTCTGATTAATTTGGTGTTGATTTTGAGTACAAGGAGCATCATTTGTGAAAGTAACACAACTTTTTGCTTGATAGATGTACATTTCCAAGTGACTCGAGTTTTAGAAGTTGGATTTATCATTTCAAGTATGTACAGATAATTGATGAGCTCTTCCCTATCATACTATCAAGTTAGTTTTCTAATGTGTTGTAAAGATGGGCTAAATTTCTCAGCCTCGTAAAGTTGGTTTCCTAGCCATTTAGAGCTTACCTGAAAAGCTTGATGTGGGAAGTAGGAATTAAGGGAACTAGAGTTCTAATGATATTAAACCATCAAAGTCAAATGTACCTTTTTTCAATGGTCCTAATGGTCTTGATTGTTAGATATTTTAAAGCTTGAGGGTGCCCAGGCTAACCTAGAAATGTCTCTTTATCATCCATCATTACAAAGGAAACCAGGGGATGAAAACAAAATCATTTTCCTTATTATTATTATTACTTTTTTTGGGTTCTTTTTGTATTTCTTTGGCGGAAAGAGTCACTTTTGGAGTTGATTGGGTGCATGCTGCTTTGTGCTTCAAAAGCATAGAATTCGTACTCGAAATGATTTGAGCTCTTAAAAGGATAGATGACCTGTTTTTGTGAAATAATACATCTCGGTGAAATATTGTTATTATCACATCTTTGGTATTCAAACCCACAATTTACTTGCGATGATTTATTCTTTTGCTAAGCCTTTTCTTTATTATTATGCAAGCATGCTACATGCATCTTCAAGGAAAGAAAGGATGCCCAAATTTGTAAGGAGCATACCCCTTGATGAAGGTGCATATCCCCCTCATCAAGATTCAAGAAGAGATGGATCAGAACCCTCGCACTGAAGGAAAGGAGCATTATCTAATCTGAATTAATTCCATTGTTTGTTGGACAATTAGAAAATTAATACACAATTGAGCACTTGGTTTGATATCGCATCCTAGACTTCTTTCACGCAGCCTCTTATAAAAAGGTTGTAATTTATGTTTTAAAATTAATTTGTTATTTTTTAATATACTTTATTAATTTTAATAAATATTTATCAAAAAAATATTTTATAAAATAGAATATACATTAAAAGTGTATTTTATTACACAATTTTATTAAAATATCTTTAATAAAATTAATGAATTGAATGGTCCGTTCTGGTTCAGTAGTATTGAACTATAGGTTAGGATTGTTCATATCCGTGAGTGACGTCTTCGAGTCCTATGATACTCATTTCCTCTCTCTCCCATATATACATGTAAACAACGTCAAAATTGTTTTTAAAAAAAAATTAATGAATTTTAAAACATTGTTAATAAAATTATTTTTTATATTATTTTATTAATAATATTTTAATAAATTTATAAAATAAGTTGTATTTTAAATTTATAATATAAAAAATATATTTTGAATCTCATATTTTATGCATTTTTAAAATAAAATAAATAAAAAGAATCTATAATTACAGTATAGCATAACAGAACACCGAGAAAGAAAGCCATATTAACCATGGAACCTCTTTGTTCGTACCTTTTTTTCCCTTCTTTTTGGGGGTGCATTCCTTGTCCGTACGTCTTGAATGTATAATCTCATATAATTCGCGTGAGTATGCTCATGATTTTAAATCATCCCATAAAGTTTTCAAAAGGTAAAGTTGATGATAAGCATTAAATCTTCATCTTCAATTATTCATTTTAAAATTTTAGTACTAATTAATAAAAAATTTGGCACTTACGATCTTAACCGCAATGGAAGTGCACATTTTCTCTTAAGTCTTTATTAAGGGTTTAAACTGTCAGTGTAACAATATTGTAATTATTCTCCTATCCTCAAATTTTTTACTGGTAAAAATAAATAAATAAATAATAAAAATTTTGATTTTCCTTCATGATTTTTTAAAAAAATCTCTCATTTCTTAAAATTCCTTTTTTTTTTTTTTTTTTAAGTAAAGTCGGCAAGAATAATCCAAATATTCGAATCAAACAGTTTAACTGCCTTATAGAAATTGGAGAAAGTGAGATTTTTCTGTGGAAAAAAATGTCATTCCAAAACCAAACAAACCGCTCAACAGACACGCCGCGTTTATCGCTTGCCTTTTTCATCATCTCTCCACATGGGGATGTTCTTTTTCATTTCATTTCCCTTTATTTGATTTCCCCCCTTTTCACGCCTTAAAAATTGCTCTCTTAATCTTCTCTTTCCTTAATCCACCGCACCAATTTAGCTATAAATATCTCCCCCTTACCTCTGCCTTTTTTTTCATCCCCAATCATTCCTTCCCTCTTCTGTTCTCTGAAAATTATAATATTTAGTAACCCTTGTTACTAAAAATAGCAGAAATGGCCAGCCAACGCATTCCATTCCTTATCCTGTCTCTGCTTCTCTTAATTTCTCTTTCCAGTGTGGCTGAGGTATGACTTTGTTTACTGTTTTTTTTTTTTTTTAACAATTACCAGTATAACACAGTACCTTTTGGGGGAATGCTGGGGAGGAATGGAACACAGTCTTTGTACTGGGGAATGGTGTCCAACCATGTCATATTGTGATGATTTGAATCTCTAACACTAGCTTTGTAGACTAAATGAGTAGTAATTCCAGTAAACTATTTAACAAACAGCCTGCCCTATGAAGGCAAAATTGCAGTGAGCAATCTAAGTATATATAGAATCTCTAATTTGAAAGTTATATGCACAGTAGTGTTCCTTTTCTCAGCTATATAAGTAAGTTTAATGCAAGACCTGTTTTTGTTTGTGATTCTCTGGACAGGCGGCTTACAGCAGCGGGAAACTCCAACCTTCAGGTAAATGAAAATTCATATATGTGTGTTCTTGCTGTTTAGGAATTTGTAGTTAAGTGTAGGAAGAGAAATGATGAATTTGTTTTGCAGACTGTAAGCCGAAATGCACGTACCGGTGCTCAGCAACATCACACAAGAAGCCGTGCATGTTCTTCTGTCTCAAGTGCTGTGCCAAATGCCTGTGTGTTCCTCCAGGCACTTACGGCAACAAGCAGGTCTGCCCTTGCTACAACAACTGGAAAACCAAGGAAGGAGGACCCAAGTGCCCTTAAATTCAACTCTATTGTTTTGATCCGTTCCCTACTACCCTTTTTCAATTCCTTCAAGCAATATATTTCTTAAATAATCAAGGCCATTTTAATTATTTTAATTATTTTGTACTGCTATTATCGGTAGCTACATTTTCAGTTCAGGCAATTCATCATGCCGTGATGTAGTAGTTCACTGGTAGTACCACATTGATGTGATATGTAGGTCCCTCCATGATTGCTTTGTTCCCACGGGAATTTTAAGTTTTTAACTGTGTTATTTGGGCATTTTCTCCTTTTATTTTTAATTAAAATATAAACGAACTATGTTTTAAAAACAAATAAAATAAATATTAATGTCCTTACATATGGGATATTATTACCATATTTACTTAAAAACTCAAAAATAGCATTCTTCCTGTGAATGTAATAGTGGTCTTGTTTTTTCAAAATGAAAAGTAAGTAGAACGTATTTTAGTAAATTTGATTTTTTTAAAATAAATATCAACTTAATATAGTATTTTTTTTGTTAAAAAAAAATCTTAAAAATTAAATTTACTAATAAACAACAACAATAAAAATATATTTACCTAATTTATTTGTTTAGTATGGAACATCTAATTAATGAATGAGGTATTAATATACAAGCAAAGTTAAATTTCATTATTTATATGTGTCCTTAATTATTTTAACGTCAAGCTTGAGATTTGAGACCTCACTTGATATATTCATCCAATGTTTTAAGATTTTACTGATTGAAGTACTTCTTCAAAATCTTTAATTTCAAGTGATATCACAAATAATTTTTTCAAAAAGATTAGAAGGATGGTAAACAACTGGCTAAATTAATTTATGAGATATTTCTCATTTTTGGCTTTCCATATATTCCAACAAACAACAGCAGAGTAATCCGATAAGGAAGGAAAGTACATTTGTCTAGCTACTTGCTTGATATACCTCCACCATTCCACAAGATTACTCACCCCCAACTACCGTGGGTCAAGACCCAAGGTTGAACCAAACCAAATTGGCTCCACGTGAGGGCAATAAAAGAGCAAATGCATTATGGATTCATCAATTAAATGACAGAAGGGACACAACGCCTCTTGTACAATTCCCCTCCTTAGCAAATTATCCATTGAAGGCAAAGAGTTAAGAAGAGCTCTCCATAAGAAAACTTTAACCTTAGGAGGCACTTACATTTTCCATATGTGTTTCCATTCAGCAGATGAAAGGATCAAATTATCATGATTCCTATCGGTTTCATTAGCAGTATGAATTGTAAAGAGATAGACACTTTTTATAGAAAAATTTACATAGAAAAATTTCCATATCTATCATAATCCCAATATTTCTCAAACTTATTGTATACAAAATAATAGATAACAAGACTTTATTCTCTTTCTTCTTTCCCCTTTTCTCTCCCTTCTCTCTTGCATCTACCTACCTTCTCCGGCACGATGGTTTTTTTGGTCGGAAGCCTTTGAGCTTCCGACGTTTTGATGCTTGAGCCGTTGGGGGATCCCCGGCCGCTTAAGCATGCTGGAGCCGACCTGTGCTCCATCCTCCGATGACCCTTTGGGGTCTGTCGGTTTATGGGTCCCTTTCTGGTGACCCCTTTTGCTCTTTTTGTTTTCTGGTTGTTTTATATAGTTTTAGTTTCTTGTACAGTTTGTTTTTTTAGATCCGGCGACCCTCGGCTCTTTCTTGTTGATCTTGGTAGAGGTTCGTTGGGTTTTTCTTTTTTGTTCTGTTTGGTGCAGATCCGGCAGCTTTCTTTCTCCTCCGCGGATCTGAGGCGGCGCGCGCGAGGGCTTCTAGATCTGATGCCCAACGCAGCTCTCTGCTGGTTCCGAGGGTCTTCCGCCGCCAGATCGGGTGACCGCACAGCATCCTGGAGCCTGGTGCTATTTTTTCAAGGGTAGATTGAAGGGTGTCCCATATGGATCGGTCGATCGAAGGCCGTGGTATTTTCGGGGCGTTCGTGGTTGTTCGAGTGCTGAGTGCACCCCCTTCAGGCCTCTGGATATGGGTCTACTCTGTTCTTTTATTCCAGTTGTTTTTACTATTTGTTATCTTTGTAGATGCCGTATGACAGTCTTTGTAATGAATCCATTCCATTATCCTCAAAAAAATAATAGATAACAAGTGGTGGCCTCAATTTTGTGCAACGGGTCTTCAGCGGATGGGACTCCCTCTCCATTTCCCTTCCCATCAATGATGGGAATAGTGATTTTCACGTGGATTTTTGGGCAAAAATAAAAAATAATCTCTATCATCCTACCTGGGGAGAATGATGCGTTTTTATATGTATTTAAAATCGTATTAAATATATAAAATTTAATTTTTATTTTTTTTTAAATAATAAAATATATAAATTTAAAATAATTTAAATAAGTTAACACATTAACCTATAATACAGTAAAATAATATCAAATAATCAATTGTAGCAAATATATAAATTTAAAATAATTTAAATAAGTTAACACATTAACCTATAATACAGTAAAATAATATCAAATAATCAATTGTAGCAAATGCCCATAATCATACACAGATCCAACAACAAGTTTCAAAAAAAAAAAGTATGAACTGCTATACATATCTAGATTAAGTTAGGTTATTGAATTAGATTTGAGAAGATTAAAACTCAAAAAGGAATTAAACTAGACCAATTAAGTTAAGTTAAATTAAATTAATTAATTAAATTTGATGAATAAAAATTAATTAATAATATAATTAAAAATATATATAAATAAATTTATATATTTTTATTATATATTAATTTTTACAGGTCTTCACATGTAAAAGAAATTCTCTATAAAATTTTACAAGAAAAAATGTATCTCCATCTCTGCCCCACGAAAAGAAATATTATTCGGATCTCTATACTGTCGATGGAAATCTCCGCGAAACTTCACGGTTCTCATAGGAAATTGCCGTCCATAATGGATAAACATTCGCGAAGGTGCCATGAATATACGACGACATGGCTACTCCACGATCCGGTACGTCTGGCCACCATAAAAGATTACAGAACACAGAGGGAACCATACAGTTTTTACTCACGACGGCCAACAAAAAAATGCAGTTTTAGTCATGTACACTTCTGTTTTCTCACTTCTTGACAATGAGACAACAAATTTTCAGGATAATCACAGCTAACCATTCCCTGTGTAAAAAAAAAAAAAAGTTTTCAGGATAATCAAGTAATATTAAATAAATATATGTAAATCAATTTATGCATCTCACACCGCTGAAATGAATAAAATGAAAATAGAAATTTAGGCTATATGGATTATTTTATTTAATTATTAATTTTAAACCAATATAATTAAGGAAAGGAAAGCAGGATTGTCAAATTTTGAATCTTAAATTTTTAAACATGATTACACTTTTTTAAGAAATTGTAACTATTGAGCCACAATAATAGATGCTTTTTTTTATATGGATTGTCAAAGTATTTATAAATTATTATTTTTTATATTAATTGTATAATGAAAGATAATTATCTTTTATTTTTTATTTTATCACACTCATATATAATATGACTCGAATTTAAAATTTATTATTAAAAAAAATGATGATTGAACTATTTAAGTTATTAATTAAATTAATTTTTAAATATCTTAAAACTAATGCTGATTTTAAGATATTATCTCTCATATTGGGCACCTAATGTATTTTTTTTTTTTTTAAAGTGTTAATTTTAAGACTTAAGTAATAAAATGTATTAATAATTTAAAAAACTATATTTATTTATTAATAAATCTTACCATTGCGGGCAGATTTTGTTTCAATTGTCCTGTAGATTCTATTGGTGCAAAGGCAGGCTTTCTACTACATTTTTGTGGGTTGTGTTCAGTGTTTAATTCTTTTTTGTGGGTTGTGACGCATGGTAGTTCGTGTTATGATACCTACTCGTTTGAGGCTATTGGACTCACGACTCCTGTCCTGAAGGCTAGAATTGTTGTTTTGTTGGCTTCTCCGGGGCCACAGCTCTGGTTGTGGTTACAATTTCTTTCCCCAGTTCTCTCGGCTCTATGCACTTCTCTCCCTTCCCATCGTCTAACAATTTCTCCTTCCAAGGTTTTTCTCCCTCTCTTTCTCCAGAAAGTCAGTTCGCCTTTCAACGGGTTCCTTAACTAACTTCCCGTAATCCAAATTCATCACTGTGCTTTCTGCCTTAGTGAGTTTCATTTCTTTTTATTTTCTGATTTCATCAACTCTGGTACTATTTTCCTTCCTGCTTCAACATTCCTAGCTAGCATCACTTTTCTTCCAATTATTTGCAATCTGAATTAAAAGAGTTGGCTTGATTGTTTTCCCTTTCAAGAATTTTAATTCCCTGCAAAACCCTTTCCTCAATTTTCAATATCAACTCTAATCCCACTTGTTGGGTTGTATGTAGATTGGAGCTGTTGAAAGGGAAATGCTGGTTGGGATAATTTCATTGTGATCTTGATTCACTCCATGGCACTTACTGCAAGCAAGGTTCCAACTGGTCCTGTTGTTAATAGGAGGGTTCTAAACTCCATTTCATATGGCGTCGTGCAGCAAAATAAACTATACCCTACAAGGCAACATAGCACTGCACGTCCTTCATTGCCAAAGTTTAGGTTTTCTGATGAGGGTCTTGGAGTTGGAGGCATATGTCGAAAACCAGTTAGTTCAGTTGTGTCTCGGGGGTCTTCCATGGTATGCCTCTCAACAAGAATAGACAGTACTGAAGCAAAAGAATGTGTTAGATCTTCTAGTGATTGTTCGGATGCATCTGGGTACGGTTCAAATTATGAATCATATGCTTTTGATGAATCTACTTCAATGATTTACCTTTTTCTTTGGTTGATAACTTTGAGTTGTTCAGTTTTCTGTTTAAAATTTTCCTGCTTTTTCATGTGAGTCCTTGTTGACTCTTATAAACATTGTGTTGTCTGTCAGTGCCCATATTGGAGAAGAGGGTAATGATCATCCAGTCATGGCTGTGAAGATTATTCACTCAAATCGGGGCTTAGCAGAAGCATGTAAATTTGTATGCAATGATGCAAAATATGTAAATGAAAGGGCTCGAAATGATATTGTCCTTCTTTCTCGGTAATATTAGAATTAACCTCTTGACTGCTTATTGATTTGTTCCAAGTATCTTGGCACATTTATTATCTATCAACTTAATCTAGGTATCCCACCATGGTTCCACAGTATGTCAATTAACTTTTTCAGTAACTGAGGAACCAAGGTCAATCTCTGCAAAATGGTGAAATTTTGTGTGATTTATTATACTTCTCTTAATTTCATAATAAACATTCTAGTGAAGAAATATAGAACTCTATGCCTAAGTTGTTTTATTTATTTATTTATTTTAATGTCTAAGTTTAACCTTCTTAGTTATCAAAATAATCCAGGACAGTGACTGATTTAATTGATTTGAGTTATAGGGGAGTTCCATGGTGTCTCTAACTAAATGAAGTTTAAAGTACATGAGACGCTTATAGTTTTCCAATTTCCTTCAGTGGCATAATGAGGTTGGATGCACGTGTGCGTCAAGATGTTGCTATTCTTGGCTCAGAGTTTCTTAAGCTTGATGGTAAGGTCTCTAAAACATCGACGGTGAATGTCATGAGCTATTCTAGAAAGGATTACAGGGTTCTATCTGTTGCAATTTATATCTGGACAATTGACACTAGAATGGAATTTGTTTCTGTATTCATAGCATGTAAAATGAATTTACAATGGTTCCTGCAAGTAAAATTGAATTATTTTGCATTTATGTTGTACCCAACAAATTTTGATTTTCCATTTTTTTGGTTTCTTGACTTATGGTTCAAATTTTTGTCTTGTGTTATGCAGCTCGGGCAAGAGAGGATACAGAGAGAATCGACCGTAATGTAAAGAGAAAAGCTGAGTGCCTTCATCATATTGCTACTGTAGGTGTAATTTCATTATAATTTTGACTTCATGAGCATGACGACATGCACCGAAAGGTGTCCTTGACTATAATCTTATAATAGCTTTTCTATCCATTAGCAGATCTTAAAAGACAAGGCTCAATCTAGATTAAAAAAGGCTGCTGACAAGCATTGGAGTGATGGAGCCTTAGAGGTAACTTTTTCTGTCATCTCTCTACCTTCTTATATCTCTTCCCTTACACCTTTACATTATCTTATAACTGGGTATACACTCTTTCTTATATTCATTTCTCGTCATTTTGCAACCAACATATGAAAAGGTATCATAAAGTTTGCCTCGCATACAGTGGTTTTGAGTGAGAAAATGTAAATCCCCCTTCCATTGTGATATGACCATGTCAAACCTTGTGCAAAAGAAGATCCCGTTATCCAAGATACAGAAACTGAAAATTGTTTATTTTCAACTACATTTCAATGACAAGTACTCTGATTACCTTTAAGTAAATTCGAGCATGAATAATAAGTCCTGAGGGTATACATCCTTATGTAGCCTTTGACTCCTTTCCAGGCTGATCTGCGATATGCTGACCTCCGTGCCAAGCAACGTGCCATGGAAGATGCACTAATGGCTTTAGAGGTGATTATTGCTAATTTATCTGCAATTGTTTTGTAGTATCATTTCTTCCCCATAGTATCTCTTATCCAGTACTTGATAACTGGCTTAACTTTGTCATTATTTCTTTTTATCTGCATGAAGTTTTATGTTCTTTCCCTTTCATGGTTGCACAGTTTGTTAAGAATGTCCGTGACATGATGGTGAGCAAGATGTACAAATTGTAAGTTTCTGTTTGTTATTGCAAGTCTCTCCTTTCATTTTGTTTCCTAAATCCTTAATGTACTTCTTTATTATTTCATTTATGCCCAGCCCATTGCGTTGGGAGAAAGGTTCACTATCAGCTAATGATATGATGCTCGAGAAAAATGGGAAATCTCTTGATTTCTTTCCTGGTGAAGTGTCATCTGACCGTATAAATGCTATACAGGTTCATTCTGTAGCTGCCTTTGCCTTAATATCTCATTCTTCAGCTGCCAGCAGTCACACCAGGAAAAATAACACCTATAGACCACTTTCATGATTGTGTACAGGAGGCTTACTTGAGTATGGCATCAGCACTCTCCGAGGCTGATGGGATTGACTACACTAACCCTGAAGAGGTCTGGATGATTATTCATTCTAACAATCTAATGGAGAGGTAATGAAAGCTTCTATATTGTTTATTGACATGCTTTTCCTCATTCTGGAGCAGCTTGAGTTGCTAGTTGCAACTCTCATAGATCTTGATGCAATGGATGGTAAACATAGTGTATCATTACTTGCTGAGTGCTCGAGCTCCCCTGATGTTAATACAAGGTAATACACGTAACTTATGCTCCGTTTAGTTTCATGGTAAATGATTTCTCAGAAATCATAGGTGACGTCACTACCATTGTATACATGGGAACAAAATACTTGGAGATATATACAGGGTGTTTTGTTCCTCATCCAGAAGACAACTTAAATGGAAAGGGGAAGTTGTTTTCTGAACTTTTTCCTTTTGTTCCCCTTTGGCTGACAATAATGAATACATTCATGAACATGGAACAACCCTAACCAACGTGCTTCAGTTTAGTGTGTGCATTTGTGAAGTGCTTATTTGTATTGTTATCAGGGGGGTGAAACTTTGAAATCCCAAAAAAGTTTTCATATAAATAACTTTTAGCTCTTGATCAGTTTGTAGAAATTGGTTTCCTCTGTTTTTAACTTTCTATTTATTTCTTTCCATTTTTGTGGCACAGACAAGCATTGGCCAATGCTTTGGCAGCAGCTCCTTCCATGTGGACTCTCGGCAATGCAGGCATGGGAGCATTACAGGTTGTTTGTTATTCCTTAGTTCTGGCGTGTTACACATAACAATAGCTACCTTTTCTGCTCAATGATGCCAACTTAATGTTTTTGGCGCGGCAAACAGAGATTGGCAGAAGATAGCAATCCGGCAACTGCTGCTGCAGCATCCAAGGCAATTTACGAACTGAAGAAACAGTGGGAAATAGAGGAAGGAGATAGTTGGAGGTTCATGATGAATCCCAAGCCAGTGGAAAAAATAGATGGAAATGAAGGTGATGATGATGATGATAATACAGATACAAACTGAGAATTTGTTATACTGTAGATATCCATGTAGAATCAGACAGTTTTAAGATAAATTGACTCATCATTAGATTTGGTGGGTACAAGAAAACTAATGTAACAAGAATGCTCCAACTTGCCTATAATGCAGTATCTTATTTATACTTGTTCATTTGATATGACCTCCTTTGATTTTATAATAATGTCAATTTCAGTGTATCATAGATTAGGGTTATAAACTTTAAAGGGTTATGGTGGTCCTAAATAAAACTTCTTCTGAAATAGTTGAGTTTTAGCATCCCTCCTTTATGAATCAATTCTGGCAGCATGTTTACTCAACTCTTAACTCATTACCCTCGTTAAAAGGTTTGGCAAAATTTCACGTTAAGCCCCTGAATTGACCCTCTTAATTGAGTGACTACACTTTTTTTTAAAGCAAATAAGTCCTTAAATCTCACAATTTGTGCAATTTTGCACTTTTCTATGTATTTCTTTGCTTGCAACCTTGCAGTCTAGTGTAAAGTAAAGAATGCAACTTTGCAATCTAGCGTAAAGTAAAGAAAAGGGCAAAATTGCATAAATTGTGCGATTCAAGGGCTTATCTGTTCTAAAAAAAGTTTAGAAACTCAATTGAGAATATAATGTCAATTCAGGGGTTTAACATAGAGTATTCCCCAAAAAGGGGTTTGGTAAGTTTTTCTTTTGTTGTCTTGATTAATGATTAAAATCCACTTAATTACTCTCAAATCCATGGATGAGCCTTTTAAGGGATATAAAAAGAAATACTTAGAAGAAAAGGAAATTAAAGAGGACAGAGGGACCATGATCAAACGCTTTTGTGCACAAAGGTTCTCAAAATCACCATCATATTCCCCCTGCTTTTTCTCTTACACTTTTTCTTTTTAGCCACTTTTGACACTCGAAATAACTCTAAATCAAATTTTTTATTAATTTAATCATTTATTGTTAGATTATAATCTATATGATTTTTAAAATTTTAAATTTAAATTATTAGTAATAGTTGATTTTAACCCTTCCAAACAAGTTGCAATTTTTCTTTTTACGTAATGTGGAATTTTAGACATCATAATACGCGTCCAGCATTTGAGACACTAGGGAATGAAACCAATGATTTTGCACTCAATTGAAAAATAAAAAAATTTTGGGACAAAAAGCAATTGCAAAAGAAGTTTTGGACTTTTGGTGATATGTAATCTTGTAAAAACACAGCTCAAATAATGGATAATCTCACAATATTTTATTATTCTATCACACCACGTCATCAATCCAAGTGACCCGATGAGCACAACCGTCAGATCATCATCTACTAAACAAATCATAGCCGTCGAAAAATACGGAAAACAAATTCAACTTTTTTGGCAATTTGCATTTTCCATCTCTCCAACGACAAATCCACAGTAGCAGTTGGTGTGAATTGGAAAGAAAGAAAGAAAGAAAGAATCAATCAGTTGGTTTTTGCAGTTGGGATTTTGGTGGGGACTCAGCCACTGAAGCTTCCTCTGTATTCTGTTGCTGCGCAGTGCAGAATTAATGGCTGCCGAAGAGGTTAATAAGCCTCCTTCGCTCCCACCTTACCCCCAGGTACCATCAATTCAATTCTCCTTTGAATTGTTGATTTTGTTTTTGATGATTGTGAGAAAAATTTTGGTTCTTTTTTAGGAAATCAAACGAAATCTGGAAATTTAGGTTCAGTTTGATTCCCGATGATTTACTTTTATTTCAAAATTGGGTTTGATTTTTGTTTGGAAAAACGGGTTCTGGAAGAATTAATTGCAGAGAAAAATAGATAATCTGAGGTTCCCAGATCGAAATTCTATAGTATATAACCCACAAGAATTTTTCATAGAAATTCTGTATATATATTTTTTTTGTTTGTTTGGGTTGATTTTATGCAGATGATTATTCAAGCAATTGAAGCATCGAATGACAAGAATGGTTCAAACAAGACCACAATAGCGAAGTATATCGAATCGAAGTACAGGGACTTGCCGGAAGGGCACACGACTCTGCTCTCGCACCACCTCAACAAAATGAAGGAGACGGGGGAGATTGTCTTTTGGAAAAACAACTACATGAAGCCTGATCCCAATGCCCCGCCAAGACGTGGCCGGGGCAGGCCGCCCAAACGGAAGGTCCCGATGGCGCAAGGCACGGTCTTGGCTCCTGTGTCTACGAGGCCCAGGGGTCGCCCTCCAAAGGACCCCAATGCCCCCCCAAAGGCACCAAAGCCCAAGGTGGTTGGTACTGGGAAGCCCAGGGGTAGGCCAAGGAAGATTGTGAAGCTTGCTGGGGGTATCAGTGGGACCACAACAGGCACAGGGCGACCTAGAGGCCGGCCTCCCAAGGTGAAGGCTTCATTGACTGAAGTGAGTGTTGGAAAATAGATGCTTACTTGGCTTTGATTTGCTTTGTGCTTGTAGATTTGATGGTGTTTGTCAGTTTGATCATGCATGTCTGGATGTCTGTTTGACTTTATGTCCCTGTAGAATTAGTTGCTATCAGTCTTGTTGAGGCTTTGATTTTTCTTTTTATTTGTAATTCCTTTTGTAATGAATGGTCAGCGCTAATGATGATTTCGTTTCTTCTCCCTTTATAATTGCATGAATTTTGTTTACCAGTGTTTTCACTGCTAGGTATAATTATATATTGGATTTACAAGTCTCCCGGTTTTGAAATTGACTACTGTTAAAATTTTGTTCACTGCGGAGTCTGCAGAACTGAAATGAATGGTAGTTTTTGAGTATATGTGTTTGAAGATTCTGCAACAAAAGTTTGTAGTTCTTTCTGATAGAAAGATGGAAAAGCATGTTGATATTAGTTAGTTTGTTGATGGAATGTTGGGAGTGGGGTATTAGACAATAGCATTAGTTGGTGAGGCAGAGAAGATCACTGAAAACGTTGTACATGTTAGGTTGTTATTGTTTGGATAGTGAGTGATAGCTACTCTTGACTTGTGTTTTGTGTTTGATGGCCTGTCCTTCTAACTGGATTTTTAGGCGGTGTGGGGTCTGGAAGGGTGGGGGAGGAACTAGGAAGAAGAGACCAAGCAGATTAGGGAGAGTGCAGAGCGCGTGTATTGCTATAGATTTGGACTTTTCACCTGGTGTAGTGTATGTATTGCTGTATATCAACCTCTTTAATGTCATGTCATGTAATTGTCTCTGAAATTCCATTGTAAGATACTAAGTTAATAGTCTTCGTCAACTCCAATTGATATGTAATTGGGGAAGGTTGTTAACTCTTGCCCATTGGACAGGTTGAATCTTTTGCATTGACCCTAAAATCAAAGTTTTGAACTTAACTGGGTATAAACTAGATTCATATCAGCGGTTGTAATTAACATCATTTCTCGGAAAGAACATAGGAAGGAGCACCAAATTTGGTGCTCACTTTGCCATGGGAGACCAAGCATTGCTGCATCAGGTGAGGAAACACCTAGATTGGAGCTCCAATGGCTAATGAAGCACCAATTTTTGCTCCTTGTGAACGAGGTGCGTCATTTGCCTTATCGGTCTGACCTCGAGGTAACCCCTTCTCAAGGGACATCAGTGCTCTCATCAACTAAGAAAGCAACTTTGGCCTTCCTATGGCAAGGGAATGTTGAGTGTAGTTCTCAAGTTTCAAAGGGATATTTGCAAAGTAACTTTTTTTATATTGATAGTTAGACATCCTTAATAAATTGAAATTAGCGTTAGAATTACCTTCAATCTTTCTATATATATTGATGGTGAAGGATTATATATCATATCTTTTAAGAAAAAAAAAAACATACACTTTATCAATTAAGTTATTAGTTTATGTTACATTGAAAACTTTAAATACCACTAATTAATAAAAAAATTAGTATAAACCTATAAGGAGAATGTTATTTCATTCGAGAAACAAGTTGTGCTCAAAGCCTTAAATGCTTATATTGTGGAAAAAAAAAAAAAAAGAGGTTACCAATGCGGAGTTCAATATTTCAAATGACTGAAATTTAAAACAAAATAAAGAGTGTGGCATCACAAAACTTGTGAAAGTTAAGGGCCTTAATTGATATTTTCCCAATTTTCAATAGATCAGATTCCTTAAAAATTTAGTAAGACTACGTTATTGGCTCCCTCTTCTCCGCGCCCAAATTACAATTTTTTTAAAATACAAATCCGCTCCCAAAAATTTACAAAACCTCCTTCATTTTGTCAAATTTTCAAAAATCCCTCCTCCCTCATTCCAATCAGATTCTGACTAATTTGAGCTCCAAATTTCATTTACCCCTCCAACCCAAATTCTCAAATCTCTGAAATCCAAAATATAATTTTTGTAAATTTTTGTCATCCCTCCAAAATGTACCCATTGCTCCCCAATAAGAATCACACCTCCATTCTCCACTTCACCACACCTCTCCCAACTACTCCCAGAACACAACAATGGCGAAGGGTGTTCCTCAGAATGATGAAAGCAAAAAGGAAAACATCCCTCCAAACCAATCCAATCCAGTTCCCGTCAATGCCCCATGTTTCAAGAAGAAATTCAGAAGAAGATTGAGGGTGCCTCTTGCTGATATTACTCACCTCTTTAATGATTCTGCAGTCCAGATCTCTTCCTCCCAGCAAAGTGTTTATGTGTTATCTATGTCCGTTTCCCGGAAGAGAAAAGCATTTGGGGAGATTGGTTCCAGCAAAGGGAGCAGTTGTGATTCTAATGCATTGAGGATGGGGTTCAGATAGTTGCATAAATACATATTAGATTTTTTTTTTCAAGGTTTTTTTCCCCTTGTTCCTTGATGCAGGGATTGGGTTAGAACTTAGAAAGGTTGTATATTTATCAAATATCAACCATACCATACGCAGTGTTCATTACATTATGGAATTCATAATTCAAGATTTATTTATACATGTTTTTTAGTATTACTTATTTCTTCAATTTAGTGGGAATTGCTGATGTGCTGTAATCAAAATGAATCTACTGATCTAATCATAAAGAAGAAAACAATTTTTATAGTAGTTAATTTGGTCTTTCAAGTCACGGTATCAAGGAAATGATATTAATTAATTTTGCAAGAATTAACCTAAAGGTGTTCAGCATAAATCTAGAGCATTTGATGAACTAAATTGCTCTGTGTTCCATGATCTATTGATAGTTGTTGTGGTAGTGGTCCGAGGTCACGTCCCTCGTTGTAGCCCGAGTACAAGTACCTCAGGCAACCTGATTCACTCCCAACTTGGTCACCTCGAAGTCAGGAACGGTGATCTCACTAGAGTTTGATCTTGTTCCTTTTGCTCTTATTCTACAGTAATTTCGTACATATATAGATCTTTCAATAGAGTTTTTTGCGATCATTGAGACATATAATCTTGATTCCCTATGAAGAACAACACATGGATGTCCTTTGAATGTAATAAACAATGTTTTCAAAACCGGACCGGTCATTGAACCGTTTTCAGGTCCGGTTTCCGGTTTGATCGGTTCAATCGGTTGAACCGGTGAACCGACCGGTTCAAACAATAAGGAAGGTTTGATGAGAAGAGCAAGCTATAGGCATGGATTTTTTTATTTGGTGTTGATAATTTTGTAATTTTATTAAAGTTAAAGGTTAAAATGGGTATAAGAAAGGAATGGGAAGGGTGAAATTGGAAAAAATTGAAAGAAGATTGCATGAGAAATTGAACCGGTGATTTTTCTGGTTCCACCGGTTCTATTGGTTTTTACTGGTTTTACCGGTTTTTACCTGTTTTTACCGGTTTTTGACCGGTTTTAACCTCAAACGGTTTTCTTACGTGAACCGAACCGTTTTTATCACCGGGTACCGGTCCGACCGATTCAACCGGCCGATCCGGTCTGGTTTTAAAAACCTTGGTAATAAATACCTTCAAGGGTCTTCCTTAAAAGATAATTAAAACTGAACTCAAATTCAACTCTTGATTTATATATGGTAACTCTCGCTGATTTAAGCATTAAAGTGTTTACTCCGAGAACCCACCACAGGGCTTTGCAGATTAATCGAAGTGAAGGTTTGAGCTAAGAGTACTTCGGAGCTCTTTTGCAACTACAATAGTGTTTATTTATAACAAAAATATGTTGTTTGTATTTTTTTTTTTAATTAAATCTCTTAAGATTTGAAAGTTAAATTGAATCTTATAACTTAAATAATTCAGAATTAAGTCAAATTGAATTTTATAAAAAGTTCTCTTAATATGTCTTTTTATTCATAAAATTTAAATTTGAAAGGAATTAAGATTTTTTTATTTAAATTAATAAATCATTGGTAGTATGTTATTTGTATTTATAGTTATTTAAAAAGTATTATAAAATATAATTTGATATAAATTGCATAATTACAATTTCTTTATCAAAAAAAAAAAAATTGCATAATTACAACTATTTATGAATAAGAGTTACCTAAATATTAGACCTTCTCCCCCAAAATTAATGGCCAATTTATTACAATTCGACTTAAGTCATATTGCAAAGTAATATTCTTTATAATTTTTTTTTTTTCATTTTCCTCTTTTAATAGGATTGTTAGCCTTCTCTTTAGTTATTTACTCATGATTGTAAGTTTTTATCTGTAATACTATAGATTTTGTATGAAACTATAACTTATAACTAATAATAATTACCTTAATTTATAAAAAAAAGAAGCTACAACATTTCCAGAGAAAACCAGAAATTCATTTGCGTTCTTCCCAGTGCTGCATGTTTCTGTACAGGGTACAACATTAAACTGTGTTCAAGATCTTTGTTGATTTCCATTTTCCACGAAGAAAACTCAATAAGATGTTTCAGTAAAATCGCTACAGTTCTTCCACTTGGATTGAAAATCCACAATGACATCGTTTCGTCCGCATTGAGTTCTCCTCATCGAAACTCTGATCCTCTGGCAAAAACACATGTTCATGGTCTTCTGCCAGACCCACTGATGAGGTAAAATTCCTTCCATCTTCCTGTTGACGTCTCGTAGATTGGCCGTCGTCCTGTCCGCTCCTGGCTGGGGTGTTTTTATTACTATTTGTATTATGAATGTTGCCTGGCATTGTTGATGACGAACCCTTTCCATAACAGTTGTTCAACTTCTGCCTAGTGATAACTGATGACAAAAGTTGATACCATCTTGAGAGAGCTTGTGCTTCATTTCGTTTCTTCTCTTCAGCCCTTCTTCTCTCATCTTCCTCTGCAAATGCCTGAATTGAGTTGGGAGCAAGTGCATGGAGGTTATGTAGAGTGATAGACACAAAGATAAGTTTCCGAATAGGGAAGTGATTTTTGTACAATCTTTTTCTCCCAACTTTTTGTACAATCTGACGTGTCATTTAAATAATTAGTTCTTTTAATTCATATAAGACTTGTAATATTAAATACATTCACTCATTTAATGACATGTGAAAGTTGTATAAAAATGTTACTCCTATAGCACCACCCTTCCAAATAAAAAGAAACGTCTAAATAACTAATAATGTTCAAATAAGGTACAGATCTAAAATTCTGAATTTACTAGTTTATTTCAACGGGCAGGGTGGGATAATAAATTTACCTCTAATATTGCATCTTTGAATTCAGCACAGACCACAATGCCTTCATAGATAGGAACTGCACGACCATGTCTGAACTCGAACCCAACCATGGCGGGTGCATAATCAATTTCCAGCCTCTTTGCCACTGTGAATATCCTTGGCAACCGTAAGTGCACAGTCCCTGGAGGAAGGCACTTCTCGGACCACACGTCAACTTGACCACGCTCATTCTAGAATCATTTCCAGCAAACCAGTGTCAGCGAAAGTAAAGCTTCAGAATGAACTGAAAAACGTACAAGTAGATATGCTTGTTTAAAACCAATAGTCTAAAAATATCTAGGTCTATTCAAATGATTTAAACTGTCAGAATGAACCACACCCATTAGAATAATAACAATCTACCTTTGGAACAATCCCATTAACAGCACGAGGCAGACGCAATGGTTCAAGCTGCCATTTCCCATAAAGCTCAATTGTTCCTTTAGTAACCTCAGTGTACTCATCATCTTCACAAACTTGTACTTTCTTAAGTTTTGCAGGACATTTAATCACCTGGAGAAAGTAAGTTAATTTATGCAGATGAAGAGAAATGAGAAGGTTAACCGTCAATCCCCACTAGTACAGGATTACCAGACCTCACCTTTGCAGGAAGCTCGTTGGCTTTAACCTGCAGCCCTTCACGAAGCCATCTTTCTTTTGGCTTGAGAGTTTGTACACAAGTCCGGGGATAAACTGGATGACCAGAGCAGTAGCCAAGAATAGGACCCCTTGGATGCAATATCTGATTTCTTGTAAGCCATCTTTCAAGTGCATATAGTTTGTGAGTTTTATAAGCCTGCAAAATGCAGAGGAAGTTACATAAAGAACATTTCTCTGTATATTCCCTTTTGCAATCATGTAATCAGATACAACTCACTGTACCTGTTGATTGGTGGGAAGAGGCTCAGTTAGTGCCCTAGTTTCCAGTTCCATATCCTCAAGAGAGTTTCTGGTAGCAACATAAGAATTTGGTGTACAAGACTTGACTTCAGTTACACTCCTGTTTTCTTTAGTTACTTCTAGACCCGACTGCCCAGGCAAATTGACACAGTTCTGAGGATGCTCAGAACTCTGCAGTGTTTTTGCTTTTTCATGCTCCTTTGAAGCATCATTCTCGAGCTTTTCCAAATGAACCATTCCCCCAGTTGTACCTGACTCCAAGTCTCTCAAAGGCGCCAGTACTGCATCCCACCAAGTTGAATTAACTCGTTTGGAAGCAATCTTGTACCACTTCATACAGTATCTGTACCATAACACATTAGAGGCACCAGTTGATATAAGATAAACTCCCATACTTCTGAGCTCCTTTTTGGAGTGAAATATTTTGTAACTAAATAATACTAGTAGATTGACCCAAAATGAAAAAGCAGTACAAGTGCTTCCCAAACTCTGCTTCTCAAATCATACCTAGACCAACTTTTCTAGGAAGCAATGAAGCAGTAGCTTCAATTCTATCATTTGAATTAAAAGTTAGGGAGACTTGCTATAAAATTTTGAGTGTTTTCCTTAAACATAAACATAAAATTATGCATCAATCCTCCAGAAAATATATATCTACTAAACAAAGATAGAAATAGATGCCAGTGAAAAACTGCAAGTCTAAATTTTAAGCATGCAACAAATATTCAGGAAGGACATAAAACCTGCGTGTAACGTCTTTGGCCCCATGACCTGCAAAAGCAACCACATATCTCAATGATGTTTTGCAGGCAGCAGCTGTAGCTTCTACCTTCTGCTCACCATCTATAATTGCATTCACCACATCAACATGTACCCACTTTCCCGACATATTCTCCCCACTACAGTACACTTCAGCCCAAAACAACGGAGATCCTACTTTTCTTGATCCAATTGCTGTAGAGACTCCATGGCAAGAACTAGAAGATTCAACACTTTGAATTTTCTTCATTCTTTTCCTTGGACTAGAGACATCTAAAGAATCATTACTATTTAACTTATTCACATCTTCCCTAGCACTACCTTCACGGGTCTCTACAGCTGTTGCAGAAAGAGCCATGGCCAACTGCATCTCAAACTCAAGATCCCCTTTCCTTTTTAAAGCCTGGGATTCATTGGTACATGCTTCAGATGGATCAGACTGTAACTCACTTGGTAATGAACCCACCACTCTATCTGATTCATCAATAATGGCAGAATCTTTTGATTTAGAGTCATTGATAGTTTTATAGACACTCCTGCTGCTGTCTGAAGCCCTCAAAGAAGTTTCACAAAGATTGTCTTCCTCCTTGCATGAGATTGATTTAACTGGCAATGCAGATCCAGAAACCTCTTTTGGATTAGCCACCATCAGTGTTGAAGTACCAAATATCCCTTTACCAACTCTTACTCTGTCTTGACTTGAAGATCCATATTTGTCTGCCTCAGGCTTTAAGGGAGCAACATCCAGTATAGACACAAACCTGAAATGAGTGATTTTAATAGCCTGCACATAAGCTTACTTCAGTGCAACCTATCCTAATCTATATTTTTTAAGTAAAATGCTTAAAACACCAAACAATTTTGGCACAGAGTGTTCAACTATTATTTATTTATAAATGGACACAAGAAGACAACTGCAGAAGCAGCAGCAGCACATATAATTTCCATGTGAAAAAGTGTAGGACTTGGACAATATTATTTCTATATTATTTCTCTAGGCAGTGCCTAGAGAAATGTTCATATCAAAAATTAAAAATTATAAGATCCATGTCTGGATCCAGATATCTTTCACTTATGTGAACCTGGCCACTATAAAACAGGTAATAATACAAGCTACCACCCTGTGGCTCTGAAGGTAAGGAAGGAAAAATATTATCCTCATGGCTGGCTAACTCAATGATAAAAGACTATCTCCAAACTTCAAAGGATAAACCAGAATAACAAGAACAGTGGAAATGCTTTACTCAGTTTAGTAAAGACATCATACCGGGTTGTGAATGTCAGAGCTCTAAATAATGCCACTGATAATGCTGCAATCTGCACGAGAAACAGCATACTTCTCAGAAATTTAGCCCTTCCTAGCAAATTCATGTGCAATGCAGAACAAAGAGAGACTTTGTCCTGCAACAAATGTTTTCTAATTTTTTGAAACAGAAACTATAATTGCTAATTTTGTTTGCATGAAACATAAGTACATCGTATTCTGTGTGTTAAAATTCCTGGATCTAAGGAAGTAGACAAGAACAATTATCATTTATATGGGAGGAAAAGTAAAGAGAAAACATAACAATTCATAAAGCTCCATACAGACAATGTATATAGCATCCGACCCAATTACATACAAAGTTACAAACTGACCACAATTAAGGAGAACTGGCATAGGATGGCCAAAAATAAATAAATAAATACACGTTGTCAATAATCCCTAAAGAGATCAAGTAATTTACATTTACAAGCTAAAAAATGATAATAGTTTCCTAGCCTAAAGAGACGTAAAACTACCTCTTCAGGAGTCCCTTCGCGAGTTTCAAGTGCAAAGGCCAAAGAAGAATGGAATGATCTCTTTCCATGAACCACATTGCTAACACGAAAGTTGTTATGGAACTGCAATTTTCATCCAAGCTCTCAAAAATATAAACTACCAATGTAATAAATAAATAATGGAAATAATCCCAAGAGAGCTTGATACCCAGGAGACAAGAGGAGACAAAGCATTTGCAGTAAGTTTTGAGACCCCTGAGAGCCTTGATAAATGTGTTGGTAGAAGAGAAAGTAATGAAGCCTGCCATGACAACCAACTGGAAATAAGAAATTATACTTTACACAAATATCAATGAAGGAACAATGAAGATATGTATGGAAAAACACCTGAATAAGAGGGTCATCACAAGCACTGTCAATCAACCTGCCTCTTGCAAGTAAACAAAGCAAATGAACCTTATGGACAAGCTCAGCCAATTCCTATTTAGGAAAACAGAGACCTTTAGGGCACTACACTTAGATTTATTGGATTAGTGGCTAAAATTTTAGTATTAAACCTGAAACACCTGGCAGTTCATTGAATGGAACTGCAAAATTTCATTATCAGACAATTATGTACCACTTAAAGAACTGGAATTCACCTTATCCTCAGCAGAAGCTCGACGCACGGGTTTCCTCCTAGCAGAATCTGATGGGTCATCAAATTCAATAGTCAGTCCCTCAATGCGATCATCTGTACAGTTGTCATTCAATTGAGGATTTGAACCATCCTCCTCCTCCCAATCCAACTCATCATCCTCCCAATCATCCACAGAAGCATCATTAAGGCTAGCAACACCAACTTCTCCAAGAGTACTTCCTGCTGCAGCTCCACTACAATCTTCAGTCTCTGAAGGGTTTGTTGCCATCACTGTATCAGTGGCTTGTTTTTTATTTTTTTGTGAGCCACTTTTTGATTCTCCTTTAACTTTCATCGTACTTGGCTCACCTGTCCCAAAAAAGAAGGCTTTTATTCCTAAACACATAAATGTTTAACATACTAATTCTAAATTAAGAACAAAATTATGAAATTCTTTCCTAACACCAACGAGTTAGCTTAATTTCAACCCAAGATCAATTCTACTCATATTACAATAATTAATGAAAAACAAAATACCCATTAACAACATTCTGCAGTTCTAATGAAAAAGAGGATGAATTTTTTTTTTTTATAAATTATAAATGAAAATCTAATTTTTTAAAAAAGAAATAGAAATTTCCATCCAAATGTTGGTAATTTAAAATAGTTACATTCCAGAAGAATGGGCTCTCTTCAGTCTCCTTGAAACAAACAAATTTATCAAAAAGAAACCAAAATTGTATCTCTGTCCGTCTATCATGAAACCCAAATAAAGGCTGAATGAAAGAGAAAGAAAACAGAAGAAAGATGAAAACTTTGATCAAATAAGAGTGGAATGGAACGCACCCGAAGACTGGTTTTGTCTCTTGGACCCGTTTCTGGTACGCATTTTTTTTTCTTCCACAGAAACAAAAATGCGATGCATAGAGTCCCGGGAAAAATTGTTGAAGGGTTTTGCTTGAGGCGGTAGGGTGTTAGGGTAGGTGCGAGTCCATTGATCCCAACTCTATGGACTCCCAAACTGTAATTCCTTTGGTTTTGATGATGTCTCGAAACAGAGGACTTCAAGTCTAGCTTTAGTCATTAGTTTGTGTTTGGTTAGATAATAATTTTATCTGAAAAGTTTTTAATGAAAGAATGGTTGAAGCACCGAGCCTTCGGTCAAGTGGTAATAGCCACGCACCCATGGTGCATTCCCCTTCCCCCAGGTTGGGTTTGAACCCAATCTTTGTAAAATCCGTTCAAAAAAAAAAATAATAATAATAATAATGAAAGAATGGTTGAAAATCATTATAAAAAAGATTAGAAAGTCTTGTGTAAAAAATTTGTAATTTTGTTCACGTTTTGTCGAAATTGTAAACTGTTTTATGGTATTTGACAAAAAGTTGATATTAAAAAAATAATTTAGGGATAGTTTTTTTGTGTTATATTTTTATATAATTTTACGTATCATTTAAATCATTAATTTTTTTATTTATTTAAAATCTATAATATTGATTACATTCACTTATTTAATAATATAGAAAAATTTATAAAAAAATAATATAAAAAAATTATCTCTATATCATTATCTTTAAAGTAATTAGTAGAAATATATTAAATAAATCTTATATTAAAAAGTTGAAGAAAGATTTTCTTTATAAAAATGTGGGAAGAAGAAATATTTTTAGTATGTTTTCGTTTTCAATCATTTAAAATACCTCCATAAAAAAGAAAAAATTGTTTATAAAAAATTATGTTACAAAAAATAAAGATTGATAATATCAATTTTCTCTTTCTTTTATTATAATCTTTAGTGTAAAAATACAAAAAAATACTTTAAAAAAATTTAAATAAAGAAATGAAATTTAAGAGAAAAAAAAACCATTATCTCCTAACCCAAAACCCTAATAAGAATACCGCGCATTCATAAATCCTTGTAATTGTAATAAACTTTTAATGATTTTTTTTAACTTCTAACACAAAGACTAGCTCTTACCAACTTGGTGACTCCTTTTAATAAAGAAATGAAGGAATCGACGTGAATCAATTCTCACTTAGTAACTTGAGTATTGCAAGATGAAATTGTGGGTGAATTGAAACCGAAAGATGGTATAGCAAAGATTATGCCACGGGATGAAGATGCATCCAACATTTGGCCGTGCCACGAGAACATTGTTTTGGCCCTCATTGATATTTATCCAGAACATAATCTGCACAATAATACTAAGATGGCATGTGGAGTGCAAGGGCAGACCTTGGTGCAGGTTTTCCTCAAACTAGTTTAGTCCCAGTTTCAATATCAACCAGCGTGAGTAGCGTGAGTATTTTCAGGGTACTCAAATGTAGCTGTTGGAGCAGGCATCCAAGTTCTCATATTCTTTTAATGCAAATCGAAAATCTAACATTTGGTTTATTTTTGAACTACTTTTGAGAGTAGGAGTAACCAAAAATCATAGTATGATAGCCTAGACTACAAGAAGAGCGGAATATTTGGCATCACCTGTAATGCTCATTGTGAAAAACAAAACTTAAAATCTGGATTTTTTTTCATCAGCAAAGACGTTTGCCTGCACAGTCCAGAGTCAATCACTTGGATCATTGGGAATACAATGAGCATTGAGCATATTACGCCACAAAGCAGCCGCTGTCAACAAGAAGAAGGAACATCATGATGAACCTGTCACTCCAGGGAAGAGTTCTGATATTTTGGCGAAAACATCCATAACCTGAAAACGGAAATAAGATGTTATATGTTAAGAATAACAGGATGAGATGATAGATTGAATTTTAAGATGTCTTCCATCAAAATAGAAATTTCAAAGTTATTTTTCAAAACACACCAAAATATATGAATGAATGCTTGTAAGACAAACAGGTTGGATAGGATAAAAGAAGTAAATTTGACAGGAAAAATGATGTCATTTCAATAATAGGAAAGCATAAGGATTCATTTTTGAAGAGAAGCCCCAATCCAAAACAGAGAATCGAAATGTAATGAAGGGAAATTTTCTGAAGAAACAAGATATTTTGAGGCAACATATTCAAAAACTCATCAAATACCAAAAAGAGGAGAAATTAAAAAAAATAATTAAAGATATACCTCCTTATCATTTTGATATTTTGCAATACTCATTGGGTTCTGGGAACACTGCAAAAGTGCAATATTGTCAGCCGCAAAATATCAGACTTTAGAACCAATACAAAATATAACGAGGCAGAAAAGCAATCTCGAAATAAATAACATTAGCTGAATAAACATACATCCATGATGGCTTGTTGAACTCTAGGATTTTGGAATGCCATGGCAACGTCGGGATTGGCCATAATTTTGGAAATAACTTCTTCAGGAGTAAGTCCAATCTGGTCTGCAATGGGAAAAAAGAGGAATTAAGAAAAGGTGCTGAACCATGAATTTAGGGGAAAGTAGGTTCAGCAACAACCTGACAGATAAGAATCTTATTAGCAATAGAAATAATGAGACAACAATTAAAAATTCACTTAGGCTAAGACAGAATCATCAATTGTAAAAGGTGAGGTCTTACATACAACAGTAATACCACATCAACAATATAATGAGCTAATGACAGTTCAACATGTCATCAAAAGTGGGACTGCATACAAAATCAGGTGGGGCGGGTGACAAAGAATAGGACCCACTTGATTATTATTTTGCTTACATGTCAAAATTGGATTGGTCTGTTACATAACACATTAGAGTATCACAATTACACAAGCTAGACTTAGACTTACCCTCTTGCTTCAAAGTCTCTTATTTTAACTTCAAAGTTGGGATTTTTTCTACTTCAAAAATCTAAGAAGGCATTTTGCTTCTTACATATAATAAGGTGCTTGACCACAATAAACAAATTGAAATTGGTAAAATATATGGTAAAAATGAAAACAATTGTAAAGTAATCATGGAATTCCCATAGTATTAGACTATAAGCATTTAAAACATTTGAACAAAAGTTTGGACTTACCAAATTGCTGCTTAACCTCAGGACTGCTAAGATCAAAATTTTTCAAGGACTCCATCATCCTATTGTCCCATTCAGCACTTCCACCCATATTTTTTCTGAAATTTATTGTTAAATGATATAGAAAAGAATTTAGATTCTTCATAAACCAGTTAACTTCTAAATAAAAGGAAAATTGTAAGCATAACCACAACCCATTGAAAGGCAAGCAGATGATTAGGGCCAAAAATCAAATGGAGCAAGTTCAGACAAGCTTACAGCATGTCTTGCAGTTGTTGACGGTACATGGGATTTTGTAACATCCCTATTAAAATATGCAAAAAATTAAAAATATATATTAGAAAACATGCATGTGAAATTTATTAAAACAAATATATCTCAAGGTGAATTGCACATTTACATAGTAGAGTTAACTCTAGGAAACAAATGTCTAATAACTTTCTTCCTTAATTATTAACAAAAAGAGTTACTTTTACAACATGTTACACACAAACCCAGGAAACCATTGAATTCTCCATCCATATTCCATAAAGATCCAACATAAACCAAAATAAAAAAAATAAAAGAGCATAAACATAATATTCTGATCAATTCAATGGAGGCAAGAACTTGGCAGCTACATTTAAGCAAAAGTAAGATTCATGATCAAGATGCTCGTGCAAATTCTTAATGGTACACAAAACTATCTTCTTCTGGTAAAGGAGATTACAAAGAAGGGAGGGGGAACAAACAAAGACATTAACTTACACTTGAAGGTGTCAGGATTTCTCATTTCCTCAGGTAAGTATCTGTTAGATAGAAAAGACAGACAAAACAAAGACATTGATTCAATTTAGAGATTGAAAAATCCACTAAGGATGCCCAGTTTACTAAGTTTAAATATATAAAGGATATTAGTAACAAACAATTTTTCTTTTTGTAAAAAAAAAAAATGCACATTTGAAATAGCCATTCAAGATTGAGCCACAAATCTTAATTTTTATGGCATATAAGAGACGAGCTGTCATATCATGATATAATATTTATCTTACAATCTGTGTAACTTCTCATTTGTCATTTTTCTGAATTACTGCAGCTACCCTCCAAACTATTGAGCTTGGTAATTTTCATGCTTTTAAAAAAAAAAAAAAATTCAAGGTTTTGTCCTCTCCAACAGGGAGGCCATTGACAAATCTAAGGCATCACAAAGCCAAGGGTGAAGGAGGAAGGGAAAGGGGCAGGCAGGATTTATGAGAAAGGAGAAAGCTATTCCTTGTTGTATAGCCCATGCATACAACAATGGTAAAAAGAAAAAAAAAAAAGCAATCAAAAATCAAATATAATTGAAGGGATATATTACGGAAAAACCATCTTCTGCACTGTTGGATCTTCCATCATTTTCTCCAAAGCTTCTACTGATAAGACAGAACCTGGTTTCCCTGTTCATGAAATGAAGGCATACACAGGATTAGGATATTGCATTCTAGATAGAGAGAGAGATGTAGTTTATGCATGTCTACATAATTATCATGAATACAAACCATAGAAACAATTCATACAACTAGGTGCAGTGGTGCACAACCTGTCTTTGATCATTAAGAAAATTACAAAGTGATTTATAATTTTATATAGGTGCACAAATAAGTCAACAATGTCAATTTTATAATTGGAAATAATAAATGAAATATCATTAATTTCCTTATTCTCATTAACTCATCGATGACATTACTGACATTTCCATTCCAAAACTATCTTCATTAAAATTACAAGTGACTAAATAAATAAAAAGCAGAGCAAGCACAGAAGTGAAAAGGGGCTACAATCAATTAAAAGTGACTTGTTTACTTACCAGTTGACTGAAAACCCCCAGAAGCACCTAGATCCTGCTTAGCAGCAGCTCCACTATTAGAAACCTTCATATAATGTGCCATGCTCAAATCGTTAAATCTTCACTAAGAAAACAATAAAATCTAAGTAAATCTATACCGCCACAGCTTAGGCAGAAGCTAAATAGCAGAAACTTACATTCTTTGGTGAACTCGTTTCAGCCACATCTTCAAAGTTTTCAAAGGGGCTTTTCTGAATGGTTTCTTCTGGAGAAACGTCTACAAAAGCTGTAAACAGAAGTTGCATTGAAGTTAATACAAATTTGAAGGAGTGAATGTGGGTACAAAAGAAGAAATTCTTTCCCTGTAAACATGGATTTTGTTTTTATTTTTTATTTTTTATTTTGAAATTAAAGAGTTCTAAGGAGCTTCTAATTCATGGATTTGAAACCAAACAAGTAACCAATCCAACAGAAAATTATGCAAACTAATTCATTTGAATGGTTGACCTGAAGCAAAATATTGGTTAAGCATAACCAAAATAACACTTTGCAAGGTAAGAAATGGCAAATCTTTTATGAAATAGCAAATTACATATCCAATAACAAGTCAGAGAATCATAAAAAGTTCCTCACCAGGTTTCTTTGGTTCTTTAATTTCAGTTTCCTTTTTCATTTCATTCACAGGATCAGTTGCTGGAGCGGTTTCCACTTTTGTTACAGGCACATCAACTGTAATTGATGGAGTGGGAGCAGCTGGGGAAGGTGATATAGGAGGTCCTGTCGAAGGTGTTGGATATGGGAATGGTGATCCAGAAGGAAAGGGAACATTACTGAATTGGTTGTTTTGAGTATTCATCTGGTCCATAAAACTCGTGAACGCTTTCTGCATTAGATATTTCTGAAAAATTGAAAATAAAAATTAGAGAGACAAAATAACATTTCCACAGATCTTACTTCCCACTAATAAATGCCATTTGTTTCGTCCATGCTTACCCAGGAAGAATATAAACAAAACCCCAATTTACTACTAGTTATGTATTCTTGAAGTGAGAGAAAAAGATGGAATCTATGCAAGATTCTTACAGTATACATAGTTACACACACCTCAATATATCCCTCCATAATGGATTAACCATGCAATCAGCCCCTTAAGATGAAAAGATATTTATTTTATTCAACTACCAAGATGCAATTTGCCAAGCCAATAGGATAAAGCTAGCTCTAGAACTAAAAGTATCAAAATCAAAACTACTTCCACACTATCATCACAACCTTGCTTAGTTTAGTACCAGAAAAACTAGCAGGCATTAAACTAATAAGCTCTAGCTCCAGCATTTAGAACTTGAGTGAGTACAAATCTACATATTTTCTTTACATTAGAACCACTAAACAATCTAAAACCAACCAAGCCATCCATCTTCTTAAATGAGCAGGCATGTTACTGACAAAAATTGACATATAAAAGTAGGTATCCAGAAAATACATCTCAACTGATAAAAAAGGGCATTTTGAGACAGTGCACATAGGTAGCGCAAATACAGGAAGCCAGAAAACTCAACAAACATGTGAAGACATTCAGTAAGATAATTGGATAAATCAAATATACTGCAGTTTGAGATTTGAATGTGAAGATGCACTGGAAACAAGGAAATTAAGGAAATGGAGGCATCAAACCTCAAATTCTGACAGCAAACCACTAGCTAGATTTTTACCCATCACCAACTTACTCTGCTTAACCAACTAGTCTCAATACAGTTTACTTCCAGAATGAGAAATAACCGACCATTCAATCACCAGCCAAATACAGCCATAAGAGAGAATCACTCACCTTTGCAGTCGAAACTCCCTGCAATTTCAAAAACTAATTAAAAACCATGCAGAAGAAAACTTTCTTTCATTGAGAAATAACTAAAATTCCAGCACTCACCCAAGAGAACAAAGCTGAAATCCCAACACCTACTGCAATCCAAAGTAGTGGTGACCCTCTACAAGCATAATTCAAAGACCACCATGACTACACGTTCTCAACTAAATCATTCCGCATAAGGAAAAATAAAAATAAAAATAAAAAGGCCCACATCAAGAGCTTAATTCGATTACATTTGTGATGAGGGTGGCGGGACAGCGAGATTCGAGTTAACGCCAACTGAAGAGGTTTGCTGATTACCAGTCCAAGAAGAAACACTGGCAAAACGCTCAGCTCCAGACTTTCCGGTCGGTATCACTGCATTGAAAATATGAAATTACAACAAAATACGAATAAAAGGAACCCGGAAATCGATTCTTTAAAATTACTACCGTTATGGCGGATTCTGCGAGGAGCACCATTAAAATGGGCGGAGAGAGAGATTCTGGAGACACAAGGAGCAATCTTTGAATTTCGAAAGGAGAAGGGGAGGACAAAGGAAGAGATTCCGGGTCTAGTGAGTTCTCTGTTGGGGTTTTTCAGACAAGAGTTGTGAGTGTAACCCAGTACTAGTTTGGGAGGGGAAGATACCAAAGCCATACTGAGATTCTCCATTCGCAAAACAAAGGAAGAAGAAGAGGAGGGAGGAGAAGAGGGCTTTGGCGGTGTCACTGGGTCTAAGGGAGCAAGACTGCAACAGGAGAGAGGCAATGAACAGATAAATTGGAATCGATCTCACTTTCTCCGGCTGCGGACTGGAAAACCGTTTGTACTCATAATAATGGGTTTGGTTGGGAAATTTTAAGGCTTTGTTTGTCAGTGCAATATTGTGCTAAGGTTATAAGTTTATTTATTTTAAAAAAACTTGATTATTTTTAAAATATATAAAAAATTAAGTAAAATTAATAAAAATATACAAAAGATTAATTAAGAATAATAAATTTATATTTTTAAATAAAGTGTTGTGTGAAAAAAAATTTATGCAATATGTGATCAAATAAAGTGTAGATTGAATTTGTTATGAATTGTCTTTTATTTTCATTTATGTGCTTATTTTTTAGATTTTTTTTTTGGAGTAGTAATTCCTAAACTAGTTTTCAGGATGTTTGAATTAACTATTTAGGTGAAGTTAATTGTTAATAATTTAGACATTTTAATAAAAATTAAAATGATTAGAAAAGTATCACATAAAAAATTGATAAATTTTGTAGTAAAATTTTATTGGATTGTTAACTCTTTCATATCTAATAAGAAATTGGTGTAAAAAATATTTGTAAAAAAGTTGTCAAATGAATTTTACATAGTGATGGTGAAAGTTAGAAGGAAAAATTTTTTTCTTCAAAAAGTGTGTAACGAAAAGTTTATAAATTAAGAATTATGTCAAAGAAAATAAAATTTATCACTGTTACTCTTAATTTATTGTAGTATTAATATATAAAAATAATTAAATAACTTTGTAAGAGAAAAGGTTTTAAAAAATTTAGGGAAAAAGTTTGCCCCCATCTAAATACTCCCTAAATTTGTCTAAACTTTCTCTTTAATAATATTATTTACATATTTTTATATATTAATATTAAAAAACAAAATAAAGGTAAGTGTGTCATTTTAACCTTTATTTTATCTAATATAAGCAGTACTAGGGGCACTCGCGTCCTGCACTCTCCGGCCAACACTCTCCCTTTCATTGGGCCACATAAGGTTGTTTAAGCTCTGAAGTGTAACCTCTTGCCAACTAAAATAACGTGGCCCAATGAAAGGAGGAGTATCGGCCGTAGAGTGCAGAAGGCGAGTGCCCCTAGCGCTGCTCATATATATATATATATACACACAAACGAAGACAACAGTTTCTTTCCCAAATTCCCAAACAGCGCCGCTGAGCTATTTCAAAACCCTAATCTCTGCAGAAACCCTAAAACCCGCAAACAAACCGATGCAACCGGCAATTATCTGAAAATATTCCCTCTAAAACCCCATTAATTCCCTCTACAACAACCCAATTCTTGATTTCCCGTCGTCCTCTCCCTCTCTCTTCTCTCTGTCTAAGCCCATAACGTTGTTTCGTCTTCCAGGTATGGCTGCCTCTCTTCGCTGTTCATCTTAGAATACGGTTTTCGCAATCTGAATTACGGGTTTTCTTTCCTTTTTTTAGGGTTTGTTTCTGTTCTCTTACTCGACCGTTGATTATGAATTAGGGTTTTATTAACATGCATGCCTGATCTGTTATTCTGAATGGTTAATATCATTACCCGAGTTTCTCTTTTTTTTTTTTGGTTAGGGCTTAAATTAGTTCATGGATCTAAGCTATCTGAGAGTGGCAGTGATGTATTTTACGCTAACTCAGTTTTTAAATTTTGGATGGAAGAGAAGAGATGCATTGATTAGTTCTACGGTGTCATTGGGTATGGTCTGGTTGAATTTGTTCATGATTTTGTTTTGTAGATAAAAGGAAGTAATGCTTGTCTTGATGTACAATCTGTCTTGAAACACGTTTATGTTTTGAGTTGGAAGATTCTTAGCTAGGTTTTATAACCTTAAGCATTATTTGAATCCCTTCCTTAGCTTGAATAAATTTTGTCGATTCTTTTGTATGGTGATAGCATTGGGCTTAATTTGAATTGAGTTACTGTATTAATTTCCTTGAATCCTTTGTGTCATTCTGCTTATAATGTTTAATTGGCAGTATACAAATAATAGTTTTCTATTTAAAATCATTAATTTTCTTTTGGACCATGGTTTGCAGCCTCACTCATTTATCATAATCTGTTAGAAGAATTTTTCCTGCTGCAAATACGATGGCGACTTCATTAGATATGACCCTTGATGATATGGTGAAGAGAAATAAGAGTGAGAGAGCAAGGGGACGAGGTAGGGCCCGTCGAGGCCGTGGACCAGGTGCATATTTTAGTGGAGGAAGAATGGCAGGGCCAGTTCATAGAGGTCCTCTTGCAGTGAATGCCCGGCCATCACAGTATGCAATTGCCAAGGCAAGCTCAAAACTGTGGATGTCATGTTCATTCTGATAAGCTTAAGAAAACAAAAGGAAGATCACTAATTTAGAAAATCAAAAACAGAGGATCTGTGACATAATTTTGCCAACTGAGAAGTTCGTTTTTGGCTCAGATTCTAAAGCATGACCTTTGACCGTCAAATTTATGCCTTGATCTTCATGATTTATAAGATTATGCGGGTTACTATGTTATACTCTGGGACTTTGCTACAGATCAAGCATATATATGACAAAGTTTTTGGTGCAGCATTAAGGTGCAATGCTACATCCTAGCATTCAATGCGGAGGAGCTTCATTAATTACTTGTTATGGAGCTCTGATGAGTAGCATAACACCTCTTTAAACATTACCGGTGCTATCAATAGATAATTCATATTAAGTTGCAATCAATAAATTTAATGTTTGCTGGCTGGTTGCTTAGACGGGGAGTAATGATGGATCTGTGTATCCTCCTGCTATGCATGGAATTTCTTTGGTGCAAGTATTCAGTTTCTATCATAGTTCATTGGCTTACTGGAAAGGATCTTCCTTCAGTTAACTTCAGAGCTGGAGCTCTCACATATAGCATAGCCTTGGTTTGAATGCAGTGGGTCAAATCCTCAACTCCCATCTATGTCCAGTTGCTACATTCCCGACGTTTGATTATTGAGTTGCTTGAGCATTTTAGTAAACGTGGTTATGCTTCTACCAGTTTTTTAATTTTCATGGAAATTTAGCTGATCTCTAACTCATTGAAGAATGGCGATCTTTTTATCTAGTTATGAGCTGACATGTTATGTTTGCTTTCATTAGTCTACTCGGAGACCTAGGAGGTTACCATGGCAGCATGATTTGTTTGAAGATGGCCTTAGAGCAGCAGGGATATCAGGAATAGAAGTTGGCACAAAGTTATACGTTTCCAACTTGGACCAGGGAGTGACAAATGAAGATATAAGGGTACAGTTTCTACAGTGTGGTCTATGTGTTTTAACTTAATGCTCTTTGGATGATAGATTTCTGATGAAGTTCTTGAAACTCGATGTGGGATATAGGAGCTCTTTTCTGAGATCGGGGAGCTGAAAAGATATGCTGTTCATTACGATAATAATGGTCGTCAAAGTGTAAGTCACCTTGCTTGGTGTTTTTGGTTTGTCATTTCCCTTTAGAGCTAATTATTTTGCATTTTTATATCTCTTGGCATGGTTTAATTTCCTATCATCTATAAGGTGCATGTGGTAATTGTATTGGATAATAACTTTTAATGTTTTTAATTGGGTTACAGGGTTCTGCTGAAGTTCTATATGTCAGAAGAAGTGATGCATTTGCTGCACTTAAACGGTATAACAATGTACTCTTGGATGGGAAGCCCATGAAGATTGAGGTTGTCGGTGCAAACGCTGACATTCCTATTTCAGCTCGTGTCAATGTTACTGGAGTAAATGGAAGAAGGAAGAGGACTGTTGTTATGACGTATGTAGCTTTATTTACTTGTTATTGACTCAAATTTTTATCCATTTTTGGAGCATTTTGTTTGTTCAGGCCCTTCAGGGTGTTCTGCATGTTGGACCTGATGCTTTTACATCTAGTATTTAATTGGCTTTATTTTAATTTATTGTGTCACAAATACTTACTGATTTTTGGATATGCAGTCCTGGACTTGGTCAAGCTAGAACTTCTAATGGAACTAAACGTGGTCCTGGGTAAGTTGCCTAAAAAGAAATTGATGCCTTGTGATGCACATTTTAATACTTAATATCCTCAAATAGCTCATGGTTGGTGTAAAAGGTGGCCTAAATTTGGGAAAAATTAATTATCATTGCGCAACTGTTAAGAATATTTTTAGACTTGGAAGGCTGACATGGCTTGAGTTAGTGCCTGCGACATGATCTTTGTGCATTATACTTGGTTCTTTTTAAGTTCATTGAAATTATACTTCGTCTTCCATGAATTTGGGTGAACTGAAGTGTAATCAGCTTCAATCTATGACATCAAGTTGCATGGCTTGACATTAAATGATAAAGTATTGTAAGGAAATATCTCTGTTGCTATTAATGTTTGGTATACGTTGACATTTTGCAGTCAAAATCGCCGCGGAGGTGGGGGAATGAGGAATAGTCGTGGTGGAGCTCGTGGTAGAGGGGGCCGTGGACGTGGAATGAAGAAACCTGCTGACAAGTCTGCTGATGAGCTTGACAAGGAACTTGACAACTATCATGCTGGAGCCATGAATGTTTCCTGAAGTCCAAAGGCAAAGCCAAGCCAAACTGAAACATATTAGGTCTAGTGAAAGTTTAGCTGTACAAAGGGTGGAAGCAGTGGTGGTATTTCCGCATCTTGTTTCTGCTTTCTGCGTGGGTTGGTTTCTGCTTATAAGACATGCGAGTTTCAGTCTAAATGAATCTGGTAGAGGAGCTTAGAACTCGGAAAATTGTTGCATATTCTAGTTAATATTATCAGCAAGTATTTCCATTCAATTGAGCTTGATCCATATTTCACTTAAGAAATCTGTTCTTTCATTCTTTTTCTCTATGTCCCGCTAGAGGGGTGGTCTTCCTTGAGAAAAATTCCAAAAATACGATGTTTGCTATGCACATCATATAACAAGTGAAATCATGTAAAGGTGAATTCT